CCCCTTATCACTAGAACACATGTTCCACAAGGCTGGCAATTTTTGCCTGTTTTTAGTTCACTGAGGTTTCCTGGATGCAAAAATAATTTGCCATATATCTGGCAAATGACAATTATCAGTTGAATGAATGATCAGTGTAGAGCACCTCTCTATGCTAGAGACAGTATCTTTATTAATGTAACCTCAGGCCACACGCTATTTTGTGGTAGGTATAGCACAATGTCCACTCACACTGACATAAATGCCACCTGTACTTTTCTCACAAGTGCTGTTCTGCCCCCCTCCTCCCTCTTTCCAGCTCCTACTTCCCACACAAACCCTCCTCCACACTATAGCACACAACTATATTACTTTCTTTAGAAAAGACATACCTAGGCTTATGGGTTCTCTTTTCCAAACAAGTGTAAATCTAAATTAAACTCTGCTTTATAAATCCATGAGTTTGGATCAGAGCTAGCACTAGGATTACTAGAGCTATGGGCAGAGACAGGCGGCAGGCTGCAGAGACAACAGAAACCCAACGGGAATTTAATCTAAAGATGAGAAACTATCAGATCCTTCCTTTCTGTAACTCCAGAATCTGGTCTTCAAAAAAAGATGGGGAAAGATGGAAAGAATATTCCAGAAAACAACCCTAGAAGGAGGGTAAGAGCTGGAAAAGTCCAAAAATTCATCTCTCGATACCACAGAGTTTCCTGTGTGTAGGGACCACCTGTGCCTTCTGGGGTCAATGACAGCCAAAATGACTCCTGCTGCTGTCAGAGGCTGAGGACACTCAGATAACAATGAGACCAGAACTTGTACACAAAAACAAGAACAGGCCTAATTCTCCACAGAAACAGAGAAAAAAATAAACATCCAAAAGGGGAGCTGAGGGCCAGACTCAGGCCTGAGACTAGGCTGACCTGGCCGCACGAAGTCCTCACTGCCCGTGGTCCTAGACACATGACAAGGCCCGTGTGATGTGCAAGTCCCTGTGATTATAGGTCCTGGATCGACAAGGTTCTTCTACTGAAGGGACAAGGACAAAGGAGTAGAGAGATGACCCAACTGAGGAGTGACCATGTTAAAGCTCACGATGCAATGAGCACTCAGTGGGCACAGGCCCCGTGCACGCTCAGCTTCTCACAGCCTTCTCCTGTCCCCACCTGCAACAGACTCACACAAACATGCACATTCTGGAAGATTCTCTGTGCTTCCATTTATTTCCTGTCTCAAACTTTAGGAATGTTCTCCTTTATTAACCCATCAACCTTACAAGACAGGAATTAGGAAAAAATTCACAACCAGAGTCTTATTTTCAATAAGTAAGTAAGAAGTTGCTCAATGCAATGCTCAGTGCAACATGAAGTTAAGACAGGGATGGAGACTGCACAGCCCCACCTCTGCTGGAACCAGAAAGTTATCAGGGAAGAGAACAAGGTCAGTGTGCAGAGGGGGTGGTGGTGCAGAGGGTATAGGCCAGTCTTCCCACTTCCTCACATTGTGCTAATAGGAACGTAGACACATTCAGATGCCAGCTGCAGAAAGAGAAGTCAGGGAATCTTGTAGTCACAAAGCGGGGGTGTGAACAAATCTTGCATCCCTCAGTCCCCCACAAGGCAGCTGTCTCACGCTGTGAAAGAAAATAATCATGAACAGATTCAGGTCAGTCACATAAGTGTTGACATTCTCAACAGCCCACTGCATGCTCAATATGTCCCACTCAAAGAATTCCCATAACCCACGCATGTCCTGTCTCCCTAACACCTCTCCCACTTCAGGCCCTACAGGGTCTCACCTTTAGAATCCGTGAGACACATCAGACCCCTGGGCACTGTCACCGCCTGGAGTAGAACAAAACAGGATGTGGTCAGAAACCATAGGAGATGAGACTAAACGAGGAACTACGGGGTGGGTGAGCTTCCCCCATGGGCTCTCGTCTACACTATCCCAAGGGTCTCAGGCATCAACCCCTGACTCAAACCTTACCTGCAGCCTGAGTGTAGCTCCCTCTTTTTTCACTTGTGGGAAGAAAACAGGGGGAGGCCTGGGTCATGAGATCCCAGAGGAACCTCCTAGTCCTGGACCACAGGGAAGTTTCCAGAACCACGACTGAAGACTCAGAAAAGGATCGGGAAATGTGAAGAAAAGAGACGTGTGGGGACTGGACCAATGGCCCTCCTGGAGCTCTGTCTTCAGCACGGACCTTTCTCTGTGACCTTCAACTGCTGGAAATCAGGTTCCCAGCACCAGAATTATCAAGGTGAAAAAATCTTTTGTTTTCACAAATGCTTTACACAAGACTGTTAGCAATCAGCTCCAGAGTGGCAAACACATGTGTGTGGATGATACTTCCCATTAACGAGGCAGGGAAAACTTCTACCTGGGGCTTGAAACTCCTCAGTGGGACAAGAAAACTCATATCCCCCCCACTCCCCACCCTACCTGAGTGCTTTTTCCTCCATATCACAGCTCCAGCCACCACAGCTCCAAGGAGAACCAGGCCAATAACGATGCCCATGATGGGAATGGTGGGCTGAGGAGGCAGATCTGTGAAGGGAAAGGAAGGTGAGGGGCTCTGACCTCAGGCTTGAGTCCTGACCTTGCTGAAGGTCTTAGAAGGGCTTCTGCTTTCCCTGAGCAGAGGGCCTCCCCATCCCCCTCTTACCCCATCTCAGGGTGAGGCCCTCAGGCAGCCCCTTGTGCTGCACATGGCACGTGTATCTCTGCTCCTCTCCAGAAGGCACAACCACAGCTGCCCACTTCTGGAAGGTCCCGTCGCCCGCAGGCCTGGTGTCCACAAGCTTTGTGTCCTGGGTCAGGTCCTCCCCATCATGCTGCCAGGTCAGGGTGATCTCTGCAGGGTAGAAGCCCAGGGCCCAGCACCTCAGGGTAACCTCACTGCCAGAGTTGGGGTGGTGGGTCACATGTCCTTTTGGGGGTTCTGAGGAGGAAGAATCAGAAAATTCACACTTTGGTTACCTCCATGGGCCACGAAAGCAGCACTCATGTGAGGATCCTGAGAATGGACAGGACAGTTGGTTTAGCAGGAGGAAGCACAAAACCAAGACACCAGCTTGGACTTTGGGATCTGGGATAACCTCCTATTGCTTGGAAAGTTCTAGAATCAGGGTGAGACCCGAGGGTAGTAGGCTCCAGGTCTCTAAACAGGAGAACACAGACTTCTGGTCCTGACCTGGGTGGAGGGTGAATGACTCAGAAAAGTTGGAGTCGGACCTGCAAAGATGTTCTCAAGCCGAGAACAAGGCCTTGAGAGAGAAAGTCATGGTTCACAAGATGCCTGCCAGGGTCAAAGGGAACCAGCGATGAGTGACTTCAGGGATGGTCTCCCCTTCTATTCCTGAAGAAACCGGATTCCTTAACTGTCCTTTAGAGAAGGGCGGGTCCTCTGGGCAAGTCATTAGTACAGAATACGAAAACCTGGGTGGATTCCTCCGTCTCCCGACAGGCTGTATATCTGACACTAATCCCCTTTTCCTCCCCTCTCTGGGGGATGTCAGCCCCAGCCCGAGGGAAGATCGGGAGGCCCCGTGGTCCCACGTACCCGCGCGCTGCAGCGTCTCCTTCCCTTTCTCCAGGTATCTGAGGAGCCACTCCACACACGTGCCCATCAGGTAGTTCCTCCTCTGCTCCGCCACACCAGCCGCCTCCCACTTGCGCCGGGTGATCTGAGCCGCCGTGTCCGCCGCGGTCCAGGAGCGCAGGTCCTCGTTCAGGGAGATGTAATCGGCGCCGTCGTAGGCGTCCTGCCTGTATCCGCGGAGGAAGCGCCCGTCCGGTCCCACGTCGCAGCCGTACATTGTCTGGATGGTGTGAGACCCTGACCCCGTCCCCGCGGTCAGCCCTGCACCCTCCCCGACCACCCTGCAGTGATTAAACCTAAACTGAAAATGAAATCGGGTAAAAGACTCCGCCCGCTCTTCCCGGGTCGGGGGGCCGGGCGGGTCCCGCAGCCTCGGGGTGAATCTCTGGAGTCTCGGGGAGACCCCGGCCCGTCCGTGGGGGTGGGGGGTCGTGACCTGGACCCGGGCCCGCGTCGCTCACCGGCCTCGCTCTGGTTGTAGTAGCCGCGCAGGGTGTTCAGGTCCACTCGGAAAGTCTGTGCGGTGTCCTTGCAGATCTGCGTGTTCCGCTCCCAATACTCCGGCCCCTCCTGCTCCATCCACGGCGCCCGCGGCTCCATCCTCGGACTCGCGGCGTCGCTGTCGAACCGCACGAACTGCGTGTCGTCCACGTAGCCGACGGCGATGAAGCGGGGCTCCCCGCGGCCGGGCCGGGACACGGCGGTGTAGAAATACCTCAGGGAGTGGGAGCCTGGGGGCGGGGAGGGGCTGAGACCCGGCCCGACCCTCCTCCCGGCGCGGGTCCCCGGGTCCAAGGTTGATGGGGCCGGGAGAGGGGAGGGGGCCTGTGACGGAAAAATGGGGCCGGGGCGGGGAAGGGCGGGGACTAGGAGTGGAAGAAGGAGCGGGCAGGTGGCCCAGCGGGGGCAGGACGGGGCGGTGCCAAGGTTGGAGTCGGGGCTCTGGGCAGGTGTCAGCAGAGACGCGCCATCCCCGAGGGTCCTGCGTCCCCGCCGCGCGGTTCCCTCGCGCCGCTCCCCGCAGAGGCTGTTTCCTCCCGACCCCGCGCTCACCCGTCCAGGTCTCGGTCAGGGTCAAGACCCCCGAGAGCAGCAGGAAGAAGGTTCGAGGCCCCATGACCCTCATTCTCAGGGTCTAGGAAGAATCTGAGTTCCGGACGGTGGTGGAGACTCTTTAAATAGGAACCGCGGTGACGCTGATTGGCTTCTCCAGAAACCGGACGCGCAATGGGAGTGAGAACTGTGGCCGCGTCATGAGTCTCCAGGCGGGAGGACCCCTGAACACAGGTTGTAAGAGGAAGAAGTGAAACTCTGGGATATGAGGATTCCCCAACACTGACCTTCCCCGCCCCAGACACCGCCCTTGGGCTGAGACCCTGAGAGCCATGTCCTGGGACCTGGAACTTTGCCCTGACCCCTCTCCTCCTGCACCGAGAGCTCTTTGTCACACTGTCTCCCTGAGTCTTGGCCCAGGGGCTGTTGGAGTCAGTGATTCTCAAGCATTTTGGTTTCAGGGTATCTATAAAGCCGTACAAGTTAGTGAGGACCCCAAGGATAATTTTATGTTAGTTATATCTAGCAATATTCACTGTACTAGGAATAAAAGGTTTTAACTGTTTTTATTAATTTATTTAGAATAATATTCGTAATCCATTGCAAGTTAACAGAAATAATGTTTTTTGTGTGAAAAATGACTGTTTCCCAAAATAAATGAGTTAGTGAGAAGAGTGGATCTTTTTACATTTCTGCAAGTCTCTGTTTTCTCTGTCTCGTTAGAATACCAGTGGGTTTTTATATTTGCTCTGCATTTAATCTGTTATTTTGGCTGAAGTATATACAAAAAAATACAGCCTCACACAAATATGTTGGTAGTAGTATATTTTTAATAACCTTTTCAGATAATTGTAAATATTCAACTTTGATACTAAAGTAAAAATACACAAGTGATAGTTTCTCAAGGGTTATTTGCCAAGTGGAACCTGAGACATCATTGAATATTTCCTATTCTGTTACATTAAAATCCACAGAACTATTTTGCATATTGAATGGCTCTTGTACTAATGTATGATTTTTTAAAGTAATGCATTATTTCACTGTCATATAGATTTTCCCATGTTGATGGATTTTACTACAAATTATCAAAATATCACCTTTGTTAATGTTACCACAGATCCCAACAGGCAAGTTTGTCAGTGCTGGGAAGCTGTCAAGCTTATGTGGTGGGACACAAGTTTTCCAAAATTCTGGTTTTCTCTTGAGAGCTTACATTTTATCAAGGCAATAAGTACTGTCAGTTGTTGCCTGTCGGTTGATTTTCTTGAAGGGAGAAGCTCACATTCATTTTGAGAAAGTGTATGCCAATTAACTAAGTCTAAATAATCATAGTTTCTGTCAGTCATTCTTTGAGGTAAAAATGGTATTCCATAAAAAAGAGCCTACCTCAGCTCACACAAATTATTTTCCTTGGGACGTAGTACTTGGGAATGTAACAGAAGGACTTTATGTGTACTTCCCACGTCACCATGTAAGATATTTTTAAAATGTGTATTTAAGGGTAATGATTTGGTAAAGATAATTTTTAATGCTTCAACCAGGATGTTTTGAAGTAAAAGTGTTTCTTTTTTTTTCTGCAAGTAAGTGGTGGTGAAGATAACTACCATTGCAGTTTGGTACCATAGCCTCCATTCTTACTAAGTTTTACCCCAGTGCAAATGTCAACATCGTGAAAAGGCAAATGATGTCTAGTAATATTGTGAAAATAGTTTTGACCTCATGGATCCCGTGGAAGGGTCTTGGTGACTTCAAGCGTTCTGCAGACCACAGTTTGGGGACTGCTATTCTCAATAAACCGGAGACAGTCACCCAACTGGTCCTCACCTTTGCCTCTTCTTCATTTCCCAGAATTCCTCTCCCTGAGTTTGGACTCCCAGCCTCCCAAAACTTAGAGTGTTGCCCCTGGTCACCTCTAGAAGAGAAATCACCCATTAGAAATTTGATGCCAGAGAGTGTCCTTAGTCTGGGAAAGGAGGTGGAGGGGCAGATATTTCCCCATTGGAACTGGGAACAGTTTGTGCCTAAAGGCACTAGACCCACTGATAACCTGTTCCAGTTTTGTTGTACACTGGCTTACTGTGTATTCATATCTCGGACAGAAATCTGACGTATCTCTAAGAGAAATAATATTGACCATTTCATTTTATGTGGGTCTAATGCATCTGACTTGAGGCCCACAAAGTATGAAGAGCAGTACTGTCCAATAGAATGGTCTATGATGAAAGAATTGTTCTATATCTGTACTGTCCAATACGGGAGCCACTAGCTACATGTGGTGTCTGAAGTACAGGTGTATACATCTGTGGAACAGGGGTCTGGGTCTCTGGGGCTCACTGCAGTGACTGGAGGTGGGGTGGAGGAGTGGAGCACAGCAGCAGCATGGGCCCTGGGATGACAAGGTGCAGCAGTCACTTGGGTGCAGAGGGCAGAGTGCAGTGACATCAGGCCTTTGGGATGGCAGGTCAAAGTCAGGACTTAAGACCCAGGGGGACAATCATAGAACAGCAGCAGAAAGGCCTAGTGATGGCATCTTAAACCACCTGTAAGGACTTAGAGGCCAGGGTGCAGAGCAGCAGCAAAGCAGCCACAGTAGTGTTGGGTCAAAGCCATGACTTGGGACATGGAGGCAGGGGCTCAGAGCAGCAGCAGCTCCAGTTAGGTCCTGTACATGACCAGGCGCTGTGGCATCCTGAACCCGGAGAGTGGGCACTGCTGCAACTGGGGTCTCTGTGGTAGGTCTCACTGCAGTGACAGCTCTAACCCCAGAGAGGAGACACAGTGGTGGGACTCTGAGAGCTCTGTCAACTGGGATCAGCGTTGGTGAAGACTACTGGGCGTTCTTGGTAGCAGAGTGCAAACGTCCATTGCGGTGAGGCTTGCTGGGGTTCTCCTGCTCTCCTTTTCTCCATGCAGTGAAATCCCTCTGAGGGGATCCCGCTTGGCACTGAGCTGCTCTGGACAGGGGAGTGGAGGGATGCAGGTAAAATGCTTTCTATGTGCCATCCTCGGCTTTTGAGCAGCGCAGGGTTTCTGCTGCTTCTTCCTGTAGTACGGAGCTTTCCCAGAACTATTTTACAGTTTGTAGTTGTTTATTGATTATTTTTGTGTTTTTTTTGTGGGGGAAAGGAGTTTTGGGACCTCCTCACTCTTCATCTTGCTGACAGCATCTCTTCACACCCAAGATTTTAACAAACTGTGCGGGTATGGGAAATGCTCCCACTAATTATCTGTTCACAAAAGACAGTAAAGAGGAGGTGCTGAGAAACACATACTACATTTTTGAGAGAACTTGAAGGGATCACTCTTCTGATAAGTTTTGCAAACTCTATTTAAATAGTAGTCAAACACTTTATGCTTGGTTAAAATGTTCCTGGATTTAGGGATTTTTGGAAAAATCTTTCAGGATATGTTTGTCAAAACTGTCTTTTGCTATCTTTTGCTAAAGAACTGGAATGTTGTTAAAGTTTAAGCATTTTAATAAAAATATACCACTTACTAAGAGAAATATTTTAAATGACTACAATTAAATCTTTGTGATGTGAGCAGCAAGCTGCATCCCTGGGGTACACACAGATTATATCTTTTGTAGCTTCATCATCTACTACAGGCAGGAGGTCTTAAGAGGTCAGCTCTGGAGTAGGTATTTCTGGGTTCAAAACCCATTTCCAGCACTTACTAGCTGGAAACCATTTGAAAGTTACTTAACATTTTCATAAAACAGTTATTTTATTTTATTATTTTTTTTTTTAATTTTTTCTTCATTGCAGTAACATTGGTTTATAACATTGTATACATTTCAGGTGTACATCATTATACTTCTAGTTCTGCATGGATTACATCATGTTCTCATGTTCACCACCCAAATAGCGATTACAATCTATCACTACACACATGTGCCTTATTATCCCTTTCACCCTCCTCCCTCTTCCCTTCCCCTCTGGTAACCATCACTCCAATCTCTATCTCCATGTGTTTATTTGTTGTTGTTATTATCTACTACTTAATGAGGGAAATCATATGGTATTTGACCTTCTCCCTCTGACTTATTTCACTTTGCATGATACCCTCAATATCCATCCATGTTGTCACAAATGGCTGGATTTCATCGTTTCTTATGGCTGA